CCCGATGAAGTCACTTGATTTTTCAATTGGCCTAATCTTTCCAGCCGCACCATGGACCTGCGGTCGACTCAGCCTCTAACAGAAATGAGCACAAGGGTATTCTTGGGGGTAAAGGGCGGCCGTCACGTAGGGCTAACAATCTCACCTCCATCTGTGATTCTACTGTCTACAGGAATGTGGGAGCCTCGACGTCTCACAACCCTATGGACTTCCACAGCCCGTTACAGGGATGGCTTTACCCTTTTTTTAAGCGTCTATTTCAATTTCGAAGGCTGTAGCTTCGAATGATCAGACGATCAGACGCGGTAAGAAGTCGTCATGCCCGATGAAGCCACTATTCTGGAGCGACTGAGGAGTACCATCAACATCTCATTTAGGACAACTGGTATTGGAGCAGAAATTTGAAACCGGGATGGGCCGATTACTTAGAAAGAACGGTACGTCCCGTTGAAAAAGAGTTAGTGGCACGAACACAAGATACCAGCATTATCCAACATTGATCATAACTTACATGGAGCAAGGTTCGTCTGGCGAAGCTTATGGTTTCTCAGCTAGTCAAGATATTCTCCGCTTTCTATGCAACAGAATTACCAAAGATTCACTACAGTGTTCAGTAGAGTCTGTCATTGGATCCTGTCCTGGAATTCAATCGCGTATTATTCCGAGTAATTCGGTATACTGAAGTTTGAAGCAGAAGGTTCCTCCGAAATGTTAGTGCATACTTACCAAACTACACGGGGTCAAATTCCGGAAAGAAGTAACCTCGATTTAGTAGAACTCTTGAATGGTGCAAGTAAAAATGTGAAGTTGCCCCTTTGCTTAACTAATTAAACGCTATGCCATGAAGATGTAGGGGGGAGTGGATGTATAGATCCAGGTTTTGTTGACCTCGGCACCAGCTGGAGGTGAGTGGTCAGCTTCACGCCTCGGCCGCTTTACCTCCGGAGAAAGAGCCCTCGGTACCCATTGGATAAGGGGCAGGGTGGACCACAAAGTCGATCTGGACGCTGCGGAAAAAAAGAAAATTCTTGACCATACCGGGACTCGAACTCTGACCCCTCGCGCGTCCAGCCTGTAACTAGTCGCTATACGAAATGCACTATCCCAGCTCCCCTTTGAATTGGGATCGGTCAAAATTTAAATTCCAATCATAAATTAAAACGTCTCTTTCTCATTTGGGAATGACTGCATTTGAAAAAAATTCATAAAGCAAAAAGGTCTTGAGCAAACTGTTTCTAATTATTGCAAAATATGAGTTATATAATGAACCTGATTAAGCTTTAATCCGTAGAGACATATAAAGTGTTTCACAGGAAATGGCCTAACACGAAAAAAACTGGTTCTCAGTTGTTACTTTTTCGTGGAGAAATAATAATGGTTATTCAACTTCCGTGCTGGTTTGTGTTCTCGTCAGGGACGCTGTGTCTGGTGGACCAGATGTAGTTCTCCATCATCTGTATGCTTACATATTGAGGCACTTCCCAGCACAGTAAGTGAAGTCGGGTTCTCAGGGTGGCCATTGATCACTGCAGCCGTTCCAGGTCATTTTCATCGTATGCTACGGATTTCTCGTACGCGCAGTCAAATACAGACAAAATACAATGTATATAGGTCTCAGTGAGCTCTTATGAATAAACATTTTTATGAAAATGACGGCAGCTTACGAGAGAAACACTTACTTACTTACTTACTCATGGAGCTGAGCCCTTCTGGAGGAGCCGCCAATTCTGCAGCTACTCAAGAATTTCCCAGCATTTTATGGAACCCGAATGTTCACAAGAGCCCTCCACTGGTCCCTATACCTGAACCACATCTATGCAATCCATACCATCCCATCCTATCTCTCTAAGATCCATTCTAATATTGTCCACCCACCTACGCCTTGGTCTTCCCTGTGGTCTCTTTCCTTCTGGCTTTCCCACCAATATCCTATACGCATTCCTCGTCTCCATCATTCGTGCTACATGACCTGCCCACCTCATCCTCTTTGACCTGATCATTCTAATTATACTTGGAGAAGAGTACAAGTTATGAAGCTCCTCATTACGAGAGAAACACTATTGTTGAAAAATCCGCCTATTGCTAAAAACTGTACTAGCTCCATCCAGTGTGCACAGCGCTCTGGCGGTAAACTGTGTTACTATAATTCGCTCAGCATCATTATGATTTCACTTTATTTTATCTATCGTCACATGTTATCGTGAATATAGACGGGATTTTGGATTGGATTTATTTACCACTTTAACCCACAACTCGTAATTACACTTAATTATAGTCATTCTAATTTCCACACAATTAACAAATCACTAGAGCACACGCTAGGTCTTTCACAGCCCACAGTGTCGTCACTAGGCGCTTCCTGATAACCGTTTCTAACAATGGCTATTCATCTGCTTGCTTGCTCAAGTCGTCTCTGAACGGTGGCTCACTTTCAACTGTGAATTCTTGCTCCAAATAAGTATTCTCTTCAAAGAGTGACTGGCAAGCTCTATCCTTCATTGGTTATAATATCTCGGCACGGACCACGTAGAAAACACCGTTTCTTTGTTGCGTGCATATCCGTTGCAGCTGGAACGTGTTTACCGAGCCATTCTCTATTGGCAGCCGTCTATTCTTGCCTATCATAAATCTGCCGTCTTATAACGAACGTTGTTCCGTTGTTTGTTTGTTGCCTAGAAACGGCTGTTGTTTCAGAGCCGTTCGCTAGCAGTGGCTGTTTCTCTTGCTCCACCGTTCTTGCTTTGAGCAAATATGCCACAGTACTATAGTTAATACTGTAATATGCGCTTCGCAGGGCTACAGACGTGCCTAAAATGGAGTTTAAAGATGAGTATTTTTATTGCATATATAACTAGTCGTGTTTGATGAGAGCATCAGAAAAATTCGACTTGAGCCCTGTATAACTAAGCAACTAACATATTGCATGGAGCAAAGTCCTTCACAAGCTAAGATTCGCAAACCTATTCAAGATATTCCCCTCCTTTTATGGAGTCTGTATGCTCGTTACGTGTTCACACGAGCTAACCTGATCTTTATATGAAGTTGAGGTTAACTGGATTAGTACACAACAACATCAAACTCCTCCGAAATATTTTACTTTTGATCCCCTAGCATAAGACTTTATGGTAAGGTAAGGTAAAACTATCCCTGTAACAGACAATGGAGGCCCGTAGGGTTGTGAGACGTCGAGGCTCCCACATTATCTAGACAATCGGCTCACAAATAGCGGTAAATTTTTCAGCCTTACGCGCCGGCCGCCCTTTACCCCCCAGGAAGATTCCTGGTACTCATTTCTGTTAGAGGCTGAGTCGACCACAGGGCCATAGTGCGGCTGGAAGGATTAAGTCTATTAAAAAAATTCATCTCATCGGGACTCGAACCCGCTACATTCCGGGTTATAACACAGTGCCTCAACCAACTACGCTACCGCTTGCCCCCAGCGTCATACTGTATGGAAATGTACTAAATAATTTCAAAGATGTAAAATAAGGACAGGCCGAATGAAATTTCGCACAAAGTCTACGTTTTGTTCACTTCGCATAACCATTTATTGGCCCATGGAGAAGAATGGATGTGCACTCATTGTATGTGTATAGAATTCGATGTGTGGTAAGCATAGAGTAAACTTGTTTGTCTGATAAGTCTCTGCCGTTGTTAAACAATTAAGGAAGGAACATTCCTTCTTGGGCAGTGCCATAGCGAAAGCGGTTAGTCGCTGGCTTCCCACCGCAGCGGCCTGGGTTCAAACCATGGTCTGATCAAGTGGGATTTTTGGTGGACATCGTGGCCCTGGGGCAGGTTTTCTCCGAGTACTTCGGTTTCCCCTGCCAATCTTCATTCCACCAATTGCTCCACAGTCACACTCACCTATCATGGGGCTGTTACAATAGGCCTGAAGTGGCCGCAGTACAAGGGACTTAGTCCCAACCCACTAGCAATAAAAAATGTATTCCATCTGCTCTCAGGTCTTTCTAGAGGTCCTTCTTCCCTTTGGAACTTACGGTACCTGTAGTCTAAGCATTTATCGTTACCCTCGCACACGCGACGGGAGGAAGGCACCAAAATTGGTCAAACAGAAATAAGATGGCGGGTATGTGGACTTGATTCGAGTGACTCACGATGGTGTTCAGTGACCGGCTCTTGTGTGCATGGTAATGAACCGTTGGGCTTAATAAAAGAGAAGATATAATTGTCAGTCTCTCCAAGTATAACATTTTCAAGAAATATTTTGTATATTTAGGTTTTCTCATTTCCCTTATGCGTGCTACCTGTACCGTTCAACTTGTTCTTATTGGTGAAGTCTCCCTTGTTTTAATTAAGACTTATGCATTCAATTTGTATATACACTCACTTCGGCACTTCCAGTGAAAAAATTCAGGCGTGTAATTTGCCAAATTGAGATTGGAGCTGCTTATGGATGTAAGTACTAAGATTATAGTCTTCTGGGATGTGACGCCGTGTAGAGCTTCTTAGATAACAATCTACGTTTCAACTGAAGTGCTGCCTCCATGTTCACGAGAAGGGTTACATCAACACCGAACGGGCTGTACTTTCCATCCCAGAGGTCCATAAGCTTCTAGAATTTGTTTAGGTTTCCCATGTGAATTCTTGTATGTTTTACGGGCATTGAAAACAGATTTGAATGAACATTTTCGACCCATTGTATAGTTACTGATTTCATATCCTAATAACATGTTTTCTATCCACTGCTATTGCAGGGCTGATCGTATATCTGTTAACTCACTCCCCCACCCCCGTCAAAGTTGCTTGCTTCAAAATAATTGGTGACGTAATTCTGGCAAAATTTTCCAATGCTTAGCATTGTGTCTGACCGCACGATGCTGAACTGTAACCTTGCAAACTACCTGTGTAGTTGTATTATTACTTCGCCGTGTGCAATGACAGATTTTTTTTTTTTTTTGCGATCTTCTATGACGTGAGTAAAAATGGTCAGGTTTATATTATAGGTATCTCCTATTATTTCTTGCTTGAGAAACAAATGCTGCGCCGCTGATGGTAGGGGAAAGACAGGGCAATAGCGTACTGAATGCTGTGTGCCACTGAAGCCGTCGATGCTTCATACCTCGCGAGGTCTGTCCCGCCAGCGTGCTGTCCGACTGGCAGGGCGAGTGTTCCATTCAGTGTCCTGAGGCTGGTGCAGACTGGACGCAGTGACTAGCTCTCTTACGCCTTTACACAGCTTCACTGTTTTATACTTAGTTTGTGGTGTGTTTTATTCATACTGAGACAACAGAATGGTGTATAGGTGAATAACACCATTTCAGCGCAACTACCTGAACATTTGCTCAAGATTAATGTGCCTTCAGGAACTGTGATATATTTTATATTTTCTAAATCTGAAGAAGTGCCGAAGGTATGTATGATGTTGTTCAGAGCCAGCCGTGCAAACACCTGTAAGTGTTCGGTACACAAATAACTGGATAAACACAGTTTACAGTCTGTTTGACATGCGCATTAACGACATGGGAACGGGGTTGGTCTTCACTTTCATGATTCTTTGAATGCCACGTGATTATGAACGCCAGAATGTAAAGATGTTTAAGGATGTGCTTGTGTTGCCCCTTTGAGCGTGATGTTTTATCACTTTCTTTGAAATGGTGAGCAAATCCTGATATATCATGTAGATTCTAAAGGGTTCTGACGATGGTGGATGACACGCAGAAGTACTGGGTTTTTTAACTTTTCGCATCGTCCGGAATTCTAGGTAATAGAGGACACGACGTTTCGGAAACTGGATCTGTTTCCGTCTTCAGGTGAGAAAGGAAGACACATACACAGTTGAGCCCTTTAGAAAGTGACTGAGATTAGCTCTTTCTAAGAGCTTCTAAGAGGCCCAACTAGCCGGTCACGGTAGCCGAGCGGTCTAAGGCATGCTCTGTCTTCGCTCGCTTGGAAACCGGGATCGTGGGTTCGAATCCTACTGAGGGCATGGATGTTTGTGTGCGTTTTTCTGTGTTTGTCTACAGGTAGAGGCCTTGCGACGAGCTGATCACTCGCCCAAGGAGTCCTACCTTATGTGTAAGATCTAGAAAAACCGAAGTGAACGGAGTTCATGGAGGTAGGCCTAGGCCCACTGGGGCTGTAGTGCCAAGGGGGAAAAAAAAAGAGGCCCAAGTGAGTAGGTGTCTTCCTTTCTCATCTGAGGACGGAAACAGGTCCAGTTTCCGAAACGTCGTGTCCTCTGTTACCTAGAATTCCGGACGATGGAAAAGTCCAAAAACCCAGTACTTCTGTGTGATATATTTTAGTAAGCAGAACCAGTATCCGGGTTTAGATTCGAAGCAGGGTCCTCCGAATAAGGAGGAGGATTGGTGCTCACTATATTCTGAGGCCTAGCGATCGGAATTGGATGTCTGGTACTGCATTTCTCTATGTGACTGTCATTTATGCACGTGACAGAGCTAAGCTTTAAGATGTTTATTTATGGTCTGCCTAATGAAATTGTCAGTTTATTGCACCGAACGTTAAGATAATTGAAGAATAATGGAATATAAGGGATATGGGAAGGTAGTGGGCATAAACTAATCATGATACTCTACAGGAATTTGCTTGAAGCGGCTGAAGAAACCCATCAGAAACCTCAGAAAAATCAGTGTTGCTAGCGATATCTTGACCGCACACTTCCCGGACACAAGACTAGAGCTTTATCATAGGAGACAGACAGTGCGTGTCTGATTGATTTTCTGGTAATCTTCATTAGTAGCTACTGAACTTGTGGAATTATTTTCTAAATATATTTCGTCCTGTGTAAAATCTTCCAAGGCCGCAAGCGGTAGACCGCGCGACCGCTTTGAGCGTCAGCAATCTTAGCCATACTTTTAGGTTCCAATACAGTTACAGTGTCACGGATAAAACACAATGCCCCCTGAAGATTCCCAGGATTGAATTTGAGACCCCTCACGCAAACGAAGTCTCCGTATGGATTAAATTTGCACTTGATTACCGGAAAGTCCCCTTGTGTTCTCATCCATATTAGTCCAATGTAATCGTCATGTTTGTTGTTGTTGTTTTGCAAGACATAGGTAGCTACGTTTAGCTTCGCAAAGGTCTGGACAAAAGTAACAGAGAATTCTGAAACAATGTTTTACTTACGCTACACAGGGTGATTATAAGAATGTAAGCGCTTTAATCCGTGTTTATTTGTAAACAGTTTTGTATTACAAATTCTTCCTTGCGCAGACTCAGCTGCATATTCAGGAATTTCAATGCACTTACGAAGGACATCTTACGTTAATTGCGGCTCACACTCCGTTCCACATTCTTAATCACGCTTCAAACTCCTATAAGAAACTTGCACATAAATATGAAAATTTTAAACACCCTGTGATAAGTTTCATTAGTTCATCTTCTTCTTGACGATTCAGTCTGATTTAAGTGTTACACTTCTGCTGATGTTTCCAAAATCCTGGATTGGAGGAGGGGGTGTCTGTGCATCATAAGACCACCCTCTGCACGTTAGGTATCTCCTAATGCGAGTTACGTGAACCCAATAAGTTTCAATATAGGGAACGGTGTAGACTTGTATTCAGGAAGTGTACAGTTCAAATGACTGCTGAGACATGAACTGCCATGACTGAAGCTTTTCGAAGGTTTCTTCAACCTCTCCGCCCGGATGCTGGGATAGTATCTAGATTAGGCCATGAGCATTTCTTTCAAAATTCACTCTTCATCAGTCACAGGATCTGAAACTTCGTTACGAACATAATACAGTGATTGGTTTTCTGGACTTTACCAATCTTTGGATTTATTTTTATTAAAACGTCGTTTCACATAGAGATCCCAGTCTCGGAAACATTGTCTTAATCAAAATTTGAAAAGCAGAAAATATCCAGAAAATTAATTACGGTATTCATCTGTCAACCTATCATCCGGCGCTACGGGCTTATAGTGTAGAACAGCGAATTTCAACCGGTGTGACGCGAGGTTTCCGCAGATGTGCCTTGGCACACTGGTGTGACGCAAAGGATCTGCAGATGTCCCCTGCACACTAATGTGACGCCAAGTGTCCGCAGATGTGCCTTGGCACACTGGTGTGACGGAAAGGGTCTGCAGATGTCCCCTGGCACACTAGTGTGACACGGAGGGTCTTCTGATGTCCCCTGGCACACTGATGCCAAGCTATTAAACTTTTAAATACAATCTTATTGCTCTTCTTTATTATAAAATCCCTTTTAAAAACGATGGTGAGCCTTGACAGTTTTAGTACCCCATGATTTGTAAAGAGTTGAAAAATTATGGTCTAGATAAAGTCAGCGTCATTGAATAAAGCGCGGAAGATGGTCACACGGTCTATACTATAGCAAGTAGAGTGCGTATCTGGTGATTATTCTTATAATGTTGGTTGTTATGTCTCGCTGTATTTCATTACCTGTTTTTTCTCGCGTCGCTCTCAACGGCTGGGACTATAGGCCTATAGTGCCGAATAGTAGGTTGATTATTGAGTGATGAATAGGAAAGAATTTGAAAGGAAACTTTCGTAGAGTAATTTGAGGTACTGTTACCGTGGAATAACTAAAGAAATGACTGAAAGCCTCAGTCAGAATATTTGTTGCCGCAGCCGAGATTCGAACTTGGCGCTTTCGCATAGGTATATAGGTCAGAAGCAGTACGTTTGAGCCAAGTTGCTCGGTTATCTGGTATAGAACCATTTCAGTTGTTAAGGCATCGTGAAATAAACTAGGAATTAACGTTGTGTGGTGTATGCTAGTGATGGAAGGTCTAGACACTGTCGTGCAACACAGTCACATGTCCCAACACGTGAAGACGATAGTGCAAGACTTTCCGGCAGTAATAATGATTCAGTTAAAGGGCAGACGTTTAAAATAGAATTGTGGATATTTACACGAAGGGATTAAACAGATGATGGGTTTATACTGCTATACGCAATTTCAGTGCTCTCATCTCACTGTCATATTGTCGCTTTTATACATTATGTACAGGAGGTAATGGACCTTCGGGTTCCATAAAATTTTAGAAAATTTTTGGGGGCTCAGAATAAGGGCTGAGCGCTATGCAGCTAGTTAGTTCGTTTGTTTGTTAGTTATGAAATGTACACCACCTAGTTAGAAGATAAATTATATTTCAAGGACGAGACTAATAAAATTATGAAGACACTGTACTGTACTGTAATAATTTATATAATTGGATCCAATAATGCAATTTTTAGAACTTGAAAGTATAATTTTGCATTTACGTAACCCATATATCTGTATAAGCCCAGTGTTGAAGAGAAGCGAAACATAAACAGGCACTGGTTGTGCAGACCGCTAAGTAATACTGTTATTACACGGAGAAGGAGAAGAGGAACAGAATATAGCCATTCCTGTCCCACTCCCCAGCTTTCTCTTACCCATTTCCCTACTCCCTTTTGTAAGGCCGTGTCACAGCTCAAGCGATTAGTCGCAGGCTTTCCACCGCGGCGGCCCGGGTTCGAGCCCAAGTCAGGTCATATGGGATTTGTGGTGGACAAAGTGGCACTGGGACAGGTTTTCTCCGAGTACTTCGGTTTCCCCTGCCAATTCTCATTCCACCAATTGCTGCACAATCACCCTCACCTATCATCCGGGGCTGGTACAATAGGCCGTTTAGTGACCGACGTACCAAGCGGACTCAGTCTCACCCCACCCAAAGAAACTAAACAAGAAGTACCTATTCCAATTTATACACAACAAATTGGTTCGAGATCTTGCTGAATTGTTTTCCGGAGGCTCCCGCTTCGAACATCAGCAAGGCCACAGGCTGTAATTTCTGAGACGGTCCCGTGATTTAGTTTAATTATTCCAGGCGAATACAATACGTAATGTTTAAATGAACCTGGGATGTCACCTGAGTGCAAGACTGGCAGATATACACAGTGATGCTGATAGGCGGCTTTAAGTGTTCATTTTTAATTTAACTCGTGGTTTCGGCTGGAATCTGGAAGATAATGTTCGGGAAAAGCCTACTATGTGATAGGAGTTTTTTCTTATCTTACTGCGAAATGCCATGTATAAGAACCTGCGCAATAAAGGTAAAGTTGTTCTGTTCCTACTTAAACATCACACCATGAAAACATATGGGGTGAGAGGAGGAAAGCTCCACATATTCTTAATCTTTTCATTGGATAGAGATGAATCGAAACTTCACCTCCTGGTTGCTTCAACGTCGGGGAAGGATTCCCCGGTACTGATTAGGCAACAGCCTGTCTGAACGCTCATGGCGCTATCGCCGGAAACCCGTCACTTAGTCACTGTCCCGAGTGTGCTACGCCGTCCTTGCGTGCTCCTGCGTAATTTGGGTTTGCCTTCCGTATAAATTACAGTAAGCTCTTTGGGTTTTCTATCAACGTGGACATAGTTCTGGAATAGTAAAACC